ACAATTCGAGTGTTTATTTGCTCCGACTTTGGCCAGCTGCCTCTGGCCTCAAAACAAACTTATTTGAGGCTTTCGCGCTCGTTTATCTCTACGCAAAAAGATGCAAAGAATTCCATTTATTTCATTTCGCGATACGAATTTCGACGTTCAACGTGGCGAATCAATGCAGAGCGGAACACCAACTTAAACTTGAATTCAAGGACCAGATGCTTTCCTGCTTTAGATAAATAACAGCGCCAACTTCTACCTAATTATCACGGGAAGCTTCCCTTGCACCTAAAGATGACGAATAATACATACACGAGCATAATGTAATTTAAACTATATGTATATGGGTATACAGAAAATAATATTTATATCTTATATTCATTTCCTGCTTTGAAAAACAGTAAATAAACTAAATTGAATTGAAATCTATTTAGAGAACGTTTAGATATACATATACAAAAAAAGAACGTTGCCGTTGGGCGTTAGCAACTGGAGAATACTCATTCACATCCCATAAGTAATTTAGTAGCTAAGTTTTGAGTTTCTAGCTCTAATACTTTAGAAAATGCAGCCCTAAAAGGGCGTAACAATTATTTTTGGGTCATCAATAGAGGAGGTTAGCAGTAACTCAACTATCCAAATTTGAAGCTTCTAGCTCCTATATTTTAGGAGACATAAGCTTTTGGTGTTTGCCATAGCTTTTTGTTCTTGGGTGGTCAACCCAAGTATATATACCAAATTTTAGGTCTCTAGCATTAAAAGTGCCCAGAATATAGCAAATTTTAAAAATCACATATCTTTATAGAATCATAATATTAGTTCACGTGCTAGCTTCAAAACTCTAGGAAATACACTTTTATCCGATTTGCCACGCCCCCAATGGTCCGCTATAGCTTGTTAGTCTTGGGTGATCAGCACGAATCTACATTCTCTTCAACTAATATGATTTGTGCCATGTCGGAAAATGCATTGCCCGATTTTGATTAAATGTAAGCAAAACTAAAATTATTAGAATTGGATAATAACAATAAATACAACCACATAAGCCAGTAGAAGTGCCCTAGTCAGGGCTACTCGAATAGAAGATTCTCCTAGCCCTGCAACTGCGATATAGCAGCCCTTAGGTTTTAATATAAAGCTTCTTTAAATAATGGCATTCCTTTTATACCCTGAACCCACTTTCAATGGGAAATCAGGGATAATGGTTTTGTTAAATGTATGTAACAGGCAAAAGGGGGCGTGGCAGACCCCACAAAGTATATATATTCTTGATCGGGGCGACGAACTGAGTTGTCCTTGCAATTTGATTTCCTAGGTCCGTGTGTTTGTTTTAAAAATGGATAACTTGCCCCTTTATTTTGTTATCGATTAAAAGTATTATCGAAAGCCAGTAATAAATTTATATCTACTACATCTTTAAAGCTAGAGTCGTTAAAATTTAAATGTTGATTCAAATATACTTTATAGAACTTCGGTTTTTCTCAAAATTTACCCATTACCCCTATATTTACCCCCTCACCCCTCACCCAAAAAGGGTGTTTCAAATACTAGAGACTTATGCTTTGGCAAATTAATGCATATCTATGTTATATTCATAATCTGAAAGATAGTCCATCCACAAGAAAAGTTAATTTAGTTAAGTTCCCATAGTAAACCACCACTTCAGCCAATGCGTGTTTATGCGTGCGTGCGTATGTCTGCGTGCGTGAGTAAGTGTGTGCATGTACGAATAACTATTGCAACATCTGTTGCTCGAAGGGTTCAGGGGATCTCGTAGTCTTGTTTTTTTTTTTTTTTTTTTTTTTTTTTTTACGCAACGAAATTACGATTTTAGTCGCAATGTACAATGAAGCAATGTTTGCTGTTGAGGATCTTTGCATTGTCATTGAGAATTTACTCAATAGGCTTGATAACAGTGATAATTTTCGGTCATACTCTCATGTTAAACAATTATTCATGGACATTTTATTAATACGTGCACGTGATTAAAAAATATACGTGTAGAGGTAAGCCAAATAATGAGCAATCAATACAATATTACGTCCCTGTTTATCACCAAACAGTTTTTCAACTCGATTTATTTATGTTTGACTAACAGACAACAATACCACGAAAACGCTAGAGGGCTAATTTGAGTCGTCGCACACTCAAACCTAGAGGCATGCAAGACAGCAGAGCACAAAGATGAGGTGAAGAAAGGCAACAAAGCAGTGCAGATGTCCGTGCGAGCATGGCGCAGTTACGTCACAATTGCAAGAGGCACGAGATGAGCCAAACCAGCAAAGACAATTATAACGAAGAGAAGCGCGAGGATGCGTAGTCAACAGCCGTAGAGGAATTGACCGACAAGGTCAACAAGTACTTCAAGTATTTAAAAACTCCCAGAAATTGAAACAACGCCAGAAACGCACGGCTTCCTTATTCAGATTCTTCGCTGTTCTTGCAGTCAATTCGAAAATTCAATTCATGTTTTCAAATGAGATCGTTTGAAGCAACGGAAATAATTGAAAATACTGCTGCAAATAATCAACAATTTAATTCCACATTCAAAATCAAAGGCCACGTTTACTTAATAATCCAGATGCAGATTGTAACATTACAAAACAATCATCCATGGCCACTGTGCTGAAACAGTGTCAAATTATTATCTGGGATGAATGCACCATGGCTCATAAGCATTCGCTAGAGGCAAAACAACGCCTGCCGGGCTTTCTTATTATACTTAATATGTACATATATATCAAATGTGTGACACATTTTTTAAAAGATCATCAATAAATTATTCGTTACCATCATGAAATTTGTACTGTAAATCTAAAAAGCCTATATTTAATATTACGTAAGCCGAAGGCCCATGCAGCCAGCGCTTTAAAAATTTAAGTTAGTTTTAATTTTAATTAACTCTAACTCTAAGATAAATAAATAAATTAATATTACGTACCTAGCCCTTACGCTCCAAAGCTGTAAAAATTACATTTTTACTTGTCACGCCCCTATGGGCTTACGTATAGTATTATAGATACACTATTATATATTATCATAGTTTCTTAGATCCCAACGGCTATAAGGCCGGGATCAACAATTGTGAATTTATTTCTTCAAGATGCTGTGAAAAATTGATATTATTTTTCAATAAATATTAAAATCAAAAACAATTTAATAGAATTTAAAAAATAATAAAAAGCAAAAACTTTTACAGATTTTAATTTTTTAATTAAAATACACAATTAAATAATTGTAAGCCAATAGACAAAAAATAAAATGTATTATTAAAATAAATGTCGAATCGAACATGTAAAATAATAAAAAGATCCTCATATTTTCAGCATAAATGTTTGTTGAATGTCAGCTCCGAATTTTTTTTTTTTTTTTTTTTTTTTTTTTTTTTTTTTGTTGAAGTAGAACTTTAACTGTGAAGATAGAGTGAAAGCTAGTTGAGACTTATGGTAATCCACTAAAAATGTACTTTTCATTTTTTCTTAGATGACAACAAAAAACATATGTGGAGATGTTTTAACTCAATTTTCACATTGATTGACGTTTTTTTTTTTTGTTTTTTTTTTTTTTTGTTCGGAAAGCAACATTGTCCTTAAAGCTCGGTGAGCGCTGAACTAAAATATGTGAAAAGTGTAGCCGGCAGCTGATGCTGAAACGATTTAAGCCAGGCTAAGCAAATACGCAAATATTTGCAAAAGTCTTTCGGTAAAATCACCGCCATTGACAACTGTTGATTTATGTACATCCGACCGCCGGCACCTTTCGAATGGAAAAAGAAAATACATTTGCAACTTACAACAAAACTCCCGCAGAGCTGTCTGCAGATGATGCAAAAATAAACAGAGCGCCAGTGGTCAATTCAGAAGTCTTCTCCTCTGATTTCTCAGATGTTTCTCTTCGTTTTCAAGCACTAGTCGGCCAGGGCAGACGTCAACGGAATGCGGCACAAATCGAAAGTAGAGCAAATATTTTGTTTTCGGCACGCGCTATAGAAATGTTTTCAGTATAAATTTGTGTTTATTTATGTTTTAGTATTTCCAATAAACTTTGCTTTTGTATTTCAGTTCTTTTTTGGCGTAGCTTCACGTTCGGCTAGCGAGCAGCGACCGTTTGGAACGAATCCGTTTGCAGGACTAAATCGAAAAGCCGGCGCCCGAGTGCGAGGCGCCCAACGAAATCCACACGAAGCAGCCGCAGCAAAAGCGCGCTAAATTTACCATCCACATGAAACCAACGGTAAATGGAGTCCACCACGTGTGACTGTGCTCGATGCGCACTGCGCAGTCGCTGCCAACCGCACAAGCGAAGGCGAAGGCGTGCACATTATGCGGGACTCCAGTGTAACAGCTGTGGATTATATTCATTATTGAGCAACTGTTGATATTTCGTGAATAGCTCGCATTTTCATTCATAGCCTCGCAATGGACGGACACGTTTCGCAGCTGCTTTAATGATTCTGAACTCATTTCGCTGCTCAGCAGCATGTTTAGAGTCCTTTCCGATTGTTCACCCGTAATAAAGCTGCTTTTCAGCTCTTCATTTCAGAGCGTTTGTCTTACCACAACAATGTACTTGAGTTTTGTCATCAAAGAACAGCACGTGCGGTTGGTTACCAAGTACCAGAATCTTATATTAGCTAAGCTTCTATCTAACAAGTAGTAATTGAAGCGCACATAAATATATTTAAATTCTTAAATTTAAGTAGTTAAAGAATATCCTTAAAACTATGAGCTAAAGCTAAAGCTGGAGCTTAACGGTTCAGTCAGTGCCTCAATATATATGGCAAGTACATCTAGATTTGAAAAATATATAGCTGCGCTGGGGAGGCTGACGAGGATCGGAATGGAGCTTTCGCAGACCAATAGCTAGAACTACGAGGCATTACAGATATACTTGGGTGGATCGCCTTTACAGAGGGATGTAAATTAAATAAATTTTTTCCAGACGGCTCCGTCTGAATGCAAAACTTTATTCCTTATATAAAACAGAACCGCATATTAATGTTCATGAAATTGCTTTTCATAATTTTATTGACGACTTCAACTTAATTATAATTCGCTAACGAATTTTGTTGACGTAATATTCTTCAACCACAAATTTTGGTAACTGGGCTCCAAGTTTTCCCCGTAAGGCACTGTGGAGTAGTGGTAAAGAATGGACACAGAGGTGACCTCAGGAGGCATAATGACAGGAATACCGTTCCCTCTGCCGCGGGTGCACTGACTATAACTAAAGCCGCCACGACTGCCAAATAGAGGAGAAACTTGGGAGACATCGTTGTAGATATTCCAGATCAGCTCTGCCGTATGAAGTGAGTTATATTAGAGCTCGTCGCCCTATTTATAGGATGCGAATAGTGTTTTATAGTTTATTTTATTGATACGTCTAGAGTCCACTCTCATTCATTTTATTTACACTAATGACACGCGCTGGCAATACTTTGTATGAAAACAAAAAGCAACACAAGCAAATTGTGCAATCGAATGCACAAAGTCGCGACAATATAAATATTTAACCAATTAATTCCGCATTTCCATTTTATTCATTATGTAATTCCCTTCACTATAAACTTAGGCGATTCCTTATATCACATATTTTTCGTGATTTTTTGATTTTCTGGACTGAATTCAATTGCAAAAATACAAAGCATTGTCGTGTGGTCATAGTACTCATAAGCAGTTAATTAAATACAAGTAGGAGATCCTGTATTGAAAGAGAAATAATATTGAAGTCCATGAAATAACAAACAGTCACACTTTTTATACTCATTCACGAAAGTGAATTAGTATATTGGTTTTGTGCAATGCCCATCCGTCTGTCCGTCCGTCTGTCCGTATGAACGCAGTTTATTTCGGCGCTATTGAAGCCAGAGACTTGAAATTTGGAATACATACTGTTGAAGAGCTAGAAAGCGGAAATTTGGTATGTAAGTCCGCGTCGACCACCGAAGACGACGAGCTATGGCATATATATATACATAACAACAATTCCGATTATTCCCTTTAAGAATCCGCAGTTAAATAGGTAACAATTAATTTATATTCATTAGTAATGAAATCGAAGTGGGAAATGAATTGAGGCAACACTTGCCGTTAATGTTGACTTATTGTCGCACTTCAAATAATACGGGTTTTATTGCTCTCAAAGTGGAAATACATAATCCCATTTGAGTAAATATTGTGCACAACCCAGCAAATAATTACGTTAGATTGAATTAACTTCGACGTTAAGCTAAATAGTATAAATATAGTAGAGTCTGGATAAGCAGACACTTCAAAGCCACAGTAGACGACGAGCAGATACTACGATGTCTCCCAAACTCCTCATCTACTTGACGCTGGTGGCCATGCTAGTGGTCTTTACCGCACCTGCAGCCGAGGGAACGTTCCTTCTCTTTGCATGCCTGACAGGATCACCGCTGTGTCCCTTCCGCACTACGACACCAGTATGTCCAACTGCAGATACCACATATAATCCAATAACTCGCGAATGTGCATAAAATGCATCGAAGTCAAAGATTGGAATATTCAATGGATATTCCTATCTTATTATATTTTTACAACGGAAAAATGTGAATCGACTATAAAATGATTTTGATTAAATGAGTTTGACAGGCAGAAGGAGTCGTAACTGAGTATTGTAATTAATTGTACTTTCTTTGAAAAATAAAAATAAAAAATTTGGCATTACCCATAGTCATTTTAATGCATGCAATATATTCGGAGATCGTCAACAATGGAACACGTTAACAGTGCACTCTATACGCCAGTTGCTACAATAATAAAGTAAAATCCATTTTCGGTCTAATGGAATTGTTAGTTCAGTGATTCTTAGTTAGTTCTCTTCAGGATTCCCAATGCTTGAATATATCTCTGCTCATTGTTGTCACCAGCTTATCCCGATCCCGCTGTGCAACCTAACTAACAGAACTCAAACAACCCAGCAAAAATGCAAACTTTTTCATAGGTTGCCTTATACTGTTATATTTTTGATATCGTCTAAAAAAAGACGAGAAGGCTAAATTTAAACAACGATTTAAATCGATAACACTAAAGCGGGAAGTCATTGATTATTTTAAATAAAGACCAGCGCGTGCTATAAGAAACCTATCCCTTGTTAAGCCTTAAGATTTCACTCGCAATAGCTTCTAAAGTTTCATATTCTGAACTAGGTCAAGCCTTAGATCCGCCTTGAGCTTATAGCTGAAGAGCTCAGAGAAGATTCGTCCGATTAACTTCCTATATTTAATTTCTATTTGTAGCCACCGGTGTTGCCCACGCTACATGCAACACGAACATTACGCCAAGCAGCGCCCACATGTTGCGCGTGCCACAAGGCAGCAGCTGGACAATGAAATAGCGCAGTGTGAGGGGTCTGACATGAATTTCCTGTACTTGCAAATCATGCGCCATGAGAAGCAGCTGCGGCAGCTCAGCCTACGCAATACCTGACGTATGAGTGATATTTAATTAATTTGCCGTCTATTTGCAGATTGCGCTATGTAAATGGCGTATACATAACGTAGTCTTGAGGGACATGGGCAGGGGGAAGTGTCAACAGTTGCTCGAACGAGTTGTTTGCCCAAGTGGGTTTCGACTCTCATCCCCATATCCAGCCCCATCTCGCAAAGAAGCACACTTTTTAAAGTCCACAAAAAACTTTGACAGCAGCTTGAAAGGCAACTTTGTTTGCCTCAGGCTGCTGGCAAGTCTCAGCCGAGCATCCAGAAGTCGCCGTGAGCGAATAAATATAAATTGGATTTTTTACACCTTTTAGACTCTGACGATTGATTGTACCTTGCAATTGATTCACTTGCGGGCTTTTATTGTCACTAAAACAGTTGAACGACCACGTGCCTCGCAGTCCATTATATGGACTAGTCCCTAGTCAACAGATTTCTGCTTTTTACTCAAAGCGAAATATAAGCCTTGTTGAATTTAACAAGCACCTTAGCTCAGCGTATTGCATTTTTGTTTGCCTATATATCTGTTCGTATGTCAGTCTGCGTAGCTGTCTCAAAATATGTCTCTCCGTCCGTCACTTTGTCTGTCTGACAACATCCAGGGACATCCTACATTCTGCTGCTCTTTCGGCCGGAAATTCGAACGATAAAGGCTCTGAGTAAGAAAAATCTTTTCACCATAAATAGTAAGTCGGAATCACTACAGCCGGATGAGGCTTTCAACAAAGTGAGAGGGGTGAAATCTCTTTGGCTGGGATCCCTCTTTGGCCGGGATCAACATTTAGGCGCGACTTAATGTTTGAGACAGAAGCTGATGTTTGACAGGATCTGCAGTATTTCTTCAGTCACCCAGACCTGATGGGGTCAGTCGTGTAGTGCAGTAAAGTGAAAGAGTGTGATGTTTCAGCTAACATTAAAATTTAGATAAATTATGTAGAGGAAGTACATACTTAAAATACCTACACGAAACACTTTCACGACATATCTTTTAGGTCCTATCTATTTCAAACTTTCAAGAGATGAGGATAACATTAAGATTTGTGTATATTCTTAGCGCCATTTTATATTGTTTGAAATACTTTTTTTTAATTTGGGGAAGCGGTTTCCAGAATGTGAAAATTACGAAATCTTTGGATTCATCAAATGGACCTACAAATTGAAATGGAATCAGTGATTATATTCGAGAAAAAAATGTGATGGAATAAAAAGGTCCCGCATATAATTTATCCTAACAAGAACAAATTTAGAAAGTAACTTAACTGATTTTGATTCAAAATTGCGGCTTGAGCGCGCGAATTACCGGCGATCGGCAGTGCAACCTTGCCCAGCGTGGTGAAAGCTCGAATGGGTGAAGAAGCTCGCTGTGGTGAAGTTGCATTGCCGACGCCGTGGAGAATTCCGTTGCGCAGGTTGCCAAGGCGGCTCAAGCACCAAAGTTTAGTCATTAGTCATTAGTCATTAGTCATAAAGAGCGGAGAACTTTTGAGAGGCGAAGCGGCCAAGATTTAGTGAAGAAAAGAAGAGCAGAATAGGTCAAATTAAGAGTAAGAATAGAAAAGGAAACAAATAAAAATTAATTAACTCAAAAAAAAAAAAAAAAACATTTAGTACGGTTCCAAATTTCTATTTCGATGTATTTAAAAATGTAAATGAAATAAACAAGTAAGAAGGCTCCAGTCGAGACTGCTCGACTAGGAGATACCCTGAACCCTCCAAGCTGATAATCTAATCATTCTGGATTTCTTTTATGCACACATACACATGCACTTATAAGTACGCGCTCTGCTAACTGCGCAGTAAGCAGCGACTGCGCTGGGCTGCGCTGCAATGTGGGAATATTATACGAATTTATTTGTTGAATAATTTAATTTCTAGACGTAGAATCTAAATGAAACTTTCAGAACGTAATCATAATGTTCAAATGTATGTACATTCCAAAGTACAAGTCTCTAGTAATTGAAATGCGTTTTTTACAAATTGGGGGCGAAGAAGGTGTGGTACCCAAAATCTGTAAATTACAAAATGTTTTCAGTAAGCAACGACTGCGCTTGGGCTGCGCTGCAGTGTGGGGAATTTACCTCTTGAATGATTTCTTTTGTAAAATGAAACTTTCAGAGCGTGATTATATGGTTATGTGTATAGAATGTGTATACATTCCCAAGCACAAGTGTTTAGAACTTGAAATACGTTTTGTTTGTAATTGTGGGCGAAGGGGGCGTGGTATCCAAAATCTGTATCATGAAATCTGTATTTATGAAATGTATATATACAGTAAATCTGAGGTCTTTAGGTCTAAAAGGATTCAAATTAGGCTGAAAAAACAAAGTCGATTTTTCGATTATTCTCGATAAAAAAGTTATCAGACGAGTTATCGAAAAATTGTGCAATCGAAGTCGCGACAATATAAATATTTAACCAATTAATTCCGCATTTCCATTTTACTCATTATTCCCTTCACTATAAACATAGGCGATTCCTTGAATCACACCTCTACTCTAGCATATTCTAAGAATCTCAGTTGCGATCGATTTGTCTCTGCATTGTTTTTGAATTTCCAGCCGCTACACTGGCTTTTCTTTACTATGGCGTCATAACAATAATGTGATTTTGATTTAATTACTGTTGCTCGAAACGACGCGGTGGTGCTGTAGGCTGAAGCGCAGGCGATCTTTATTTGAGTTGTTATTTGGCTTGGGTGCGAGTTCAAATCCCGCGGAAAAGTCTTTTTTGAAAATTTCAAATTTATGTTATTTTAGCTTATTTTATATTTATTTTTAGTTTCATAAAAATGTTTCTTTCCCTATTATAAATATCTATTAAACTTATTTATATGTAAAAATACACAACTAGATGGCTCACAATTTGGACACTATAAACGCCGATTGCCACGTCCCTAGTGGCCGTAGACTTCTCATTTTTGGCCAGTTCTTAGAACGAGCTAGCAGTGACAAATTTACTTTATTACTGCGTCTTACTAACTACAAATATCAAATCTTACTACTACTGTTGTTTCTCGGGAATGCGGGGAGCCGCCTTTCAATTTAATGCAAATACCTTTAACTTTATGTAATCCAGCTGAGTTATTTCAACTTTCAAGTTCTCGTTGTTGTTTTAGGTACTATGCTGCAACGCACGTAGAATGAATGGCAGACTCGCAGGTCCTTGATTCATTTGATGGGTTTCTGCAAATTCGAGAAAAAAGCTCAAATTTGCGGTTGCTGACGAAATGATAATTTTTGTGCTCCAATAGTAAATTGTTGTATTTGCATATATTTTTGTGTGCCTGTGGGTGTGTGGGTGTCCGCTGTGTTGTGTGAAGAAAAATGTAATTTTGCAGATTGGGGACTCGTCTCGTCATTCACTACTTGCTTCTTAGGCCTCTGCTGCCTTTTGAGCCTTCAAATGCGCCTGCGGCGTATGGGAAATTTATTCACATGTTTTGGTATGCAGCAGAATTAAGCAACATTCTTGGTTCAAACTGTATGCCAAACCAAAGGCAATTTGCAAGGGGCTACTCAAACTAAAGAGATCCATGGGCCAACTCAAATGCAACCGAGTATAGCTAATGGGCTTAAGTTTTTTGGCTTAAAGGGCTCTGCAGGTTTGAGCCAATTCGGGTTGAATTACATTTTTATATACCCTGCACCCATTTAAAATTGAAAATCAGGGTATAATGGTTTTGTGAAAAGTATGTAACAGGCAGAATCATTGCAGACCCCATAAGGTCATAAGACCCTATATAATCATAACATTAGTTTAAGTGCAAAATTTCAGAGGTCTAGCTGTAAAACTCTTGGAGATACAGTTTCATCCGATTTGCCACGCCCCAGAGGCGCGTAGGTATATCTGCCATTGTTGACGCGGATCTACATTCCAAATTCCAGCTTTCTAGGACTTCAACTAATATGATTTCTGACATATCGGAAAATGCATTTTACGATTTGCCACGCCTTTAGTGGGCGGATTGGGAAAATTTTAACACTTTACAAATCGGAGATACGAGTATGTCTCCCAAATTTCAAGTCTCTAGATTCAATAGCGCCGAAATAAACTGCGTTCATATGGAAATCAATACGGACATTGCACAAAACCAATATACTAATTCACTTTCGTGAATGAGTATAATAATTCACATTCGTGAATGAGTATAATTAATATCATCAAGATCAAAACTCATGTAGTGTAATAATAAGTTCCAATAAGAATACCAAAAATGCTTTGCAATCAAAGTAAATGGCCTTTCAAAATTAACGTTCTCAATATATATATTTATTTATATACACATACATACATTTTTACTATTCAGATGATCCAGATATTAAACTCTTTAGTAGTCTGTTAATTACAGCGCTCGAAAGTGGTGTTGAAAATAGGCGCCGAAGAGTCGCTATGGAATTTCTTGTCAAGTTACTAAATATCCAGAAAAACAAACTTTTCTTCGTTCAGCGCTATTGGGGTTGCAGCCACCAGAATTCAGTTAAGTTCTGTTAAGCTGGGAAAAGGTCTGACAAATAAGTAAGGCTATGCGACAATGCCTTGGCCACACAACAACAAGAACAACGTTCAGGCCATTGCTCATTGGAAAAGGCTCGGTTTCGCATTCGGTTTTGAGTTGGGGTTCGCGTACGGAGTTTGGGCTTGTTTCAAATTACATAAGCACCGCACGTAGCAGCGTGAAGAGTACAAGCATTCCCGTTGACTTGGCTTTGATGCGCTTTGCACTTAATTAGGGAATATAACTAATGATGGAAACTTTGCACTCGACTTCCTATAATAGCACCGAGCACTCATCGAAGCAAAAGAGTTTCCATTTGACTTCAGATGACTCTACTTGGATTTCCGAGCCACAACTAGTAACTACGCAGCCTCTCAGCTAGAAGTAGAAGCCACTTGTTGTCGGCCCGTTAATTACTATTACCATTTATTTATTTGTTAGCTCATCTATTTATATCTTAGCTTTGCTTCCTTGTAAATTATTTTGTTAATCGATTAATTATATTTTAGTTTGATCTGAAACAAGTATAAACGCTGCTGTAGTAAAATCATCGTATGGAATACTGCACCTTAATAAAATAAATCAAATTGCACGGATCACACCGCAACATTGACATTATATTGATATTTGAGAAACAAATGGTTACAATAATTTAATTCCTCTCTATCTATTAGGCGAAGAGGTTTTGTGTTTTCCCTGGCGAGGGGTTATCCACTTGGCGAACGGGCGCAGCTCATATTCTCAACACAATTCACAATTTAAATATACTTCATTAATACCCTGAACCCATTGAAAATGGGAAATCAGAGCATAATGGTTAATGTTAATGTTAAATGTATGTAACAGGCAGAAGGAGGCGTGGCACACCCCATAAAGTATATATATTTTTGATCAGGGCGACGAGATGAGTTGATTTAGTCTGTCTATCCGTCCGTCTGTCTGTCCGTGTATATCACGCGCATGTCGAGTTTTTCTCTAAATATCGATAACTACTTTCGATATTTTAATATCGATTAAAAATCTTATCGAGAGCTGGTTATTTAATTATATCTCCCACACCTTTAGAGCTAGACCACTAACCAGAGAACACATAGACCGGACAAGTAGTGTGCAAAACGCTTTACACTACTTGTCCGGTCTATGTGTTCTCTGGTTAGTGGTACAAGTTTTTTTTTCGATTACTCATCCGATAACTTTTTTATCGAGAATAATCAAAAAATTGATTTTGTTTTTTCAGCCTAATTTGAACACTCTTAGACCTAGAGACTTCAGATTTACTGTACATATACAGTTGATTTATTTATTTATTTATTTATTTATTTCTTTCTTAAAGCTATTGACAAAAACGAGAGTCAATTTTAATTTAAAAAAGCCTATACAAAGTACACGATATRATTTCAAATAGTAACACCAACCCGATGGGGGTATTTTATTTGCCAGTCCGGCCGGCTATGCCCACGTCTCACAGCCAAATATGGTCAGTGATACTATTGAAGCTATGAAAAGAAAGTGTTAGTAAGAAACTTAAAAAAATAAAATATTAAAATGTTGGTTATTAACAATATCTAGCATAATTAAAATAATTCTTAAAATAATAATAAAAATAAAAAAATAATAATAANACGGACGGACGGACGGACGGACGGACGGACAGACGGACAGACGGACTGGGCTATATCGACTCAGCTCGCCATCCTGATCAAGAATATATATACTTTATGGGGTCTGCGATGATTCCTTCTGCCTGTTACATACTTTTCACAAAACCATTATACCCTGATTTCCCATTTTCAATGGGTTCAGGGTATAAAAAGAAAAGACAAAGGGAAGAGATCGATACGAAGATTTTATAATTTACAGATTTTGGATACCATACCCCCTTCGCCCCCAATTGTAAAAGTACTAGGGACTTTTGCTTTGGAATGTACACACATTTTTACCATATGAATACGCTCTGAAAATTTCATAAAGATCGTATGTCTTCAAAAGAAATTATTCAGCAAATAAATTCTCCTAATATTGCCCACACTGCGCTATGCATGGTGCACTGCAGCGCAGCCCAAGCGCAGTCGCTGCTTACTGCGCAGTTAGCAGAGCGCGGGATTATGAGTGTGCATAAAAGAAGTGCAGAATATCAGCTTAGAGGGTTCAGGGTATCTCCTAGTCGAGCAGTCTCGACTAGAGCACTTTTACTTGTTATTTTTATATCGATATATATAGCAACTAAATTTCAATAATTCTTCGCTTCTTTTTTGCATACACAACAAACAGCACATGTACATACATACATACGCGTATGCCGCATGAAGCTGCAATCAGAGCTGTTAGCTTTGCCTAGATCAGGCTAGATCTTTCCTATTTGGAAGTGGTCTTTCCTATAGATAGTAAATTCATTGATAATGAATAGGGGAGGAATGGCCAGAAATTGAGGAAGACTATGTGGAAGTCGTAGTCCATAAGAGAACTATGTTTGGAAGAGAATAAAGTGCTCTCAAGCCAAGTGACGTCATCTAAAAATTATAAATATTAATGTACAGAAGCTATTTTTAGCAATCATTTAGCTTTATCAAGTATTTATATACATACATATTTTAGAGGGCTGGATGACTTCAACCAACATTCCAACACGTGTATGTGCTTCACATAGACTCCCTTCCATATGAAATTGAATTAGTGAGTGAGAAGCATAGAGTAAGTTTGGGTTGGACTGCGCTTTAGGTGTCATAGCGAGCAAGAATAATGAGCGAGAATAAATGAAGCCTAAAGGGCAATGAAAAAATTTTTCAAAACATAAATGCAGCTCTCTAATAAATACATATGTACATACATTTATATTATGGAACACTTTGATGTTTCTTCATTTGTATGTCTGCATATCTGTCTCTCTGCCCGTCTATTTCACAGTCTGTGCCTCCGTCTGTCTGTAAGTGCAATACAAGCAAATCCAGATTTTTGTTTTTTTTTTTTTTTTTTTATACCCTGAACTTATTTTAAATGGGAAATCAGAGTATCATGTTTTTATAAAAAGTATGTAAAAGGCAGAAGGAAGCATCGCAAACTCTACAATTGGTTAGAGCGGAAATTGAAAAAATGAATTCACAAATAATAGTCCTCCAAGTTTAAGTAGTTTTCAAGTTTGCCACAAGTTGAAACTTACCATGATTGATGAGTGCACATACTTAAATGTAGTTCATAATAGATTGTGCGATTTCGTCGTGCCATCTTTTCATCTGTAGTATGTTTCATGTCGTATAAGCATATGCTCACAGTATTGTAGTGTATACAATATATCAATGTAGACATATGCCCAACATAAGTAAGAGTATCATGCTCACAACATAGCTTTTAGCGACAGAATTCTTTATGTAAACTTTATGTATTTTAGGCTAAGACTTTATTTGAATAAAATACTGAGAGCATTCTCTGATGAACATTAAAACCGCTCACAACTCAGCGCTCCGCGCATTTATCATTTTATCATTTTACACATCAACCGAGCCGAAAAATACCGACCCGAGCAAGATAGATCTGCTCTACCTCTCATATAAAATAAGTCCCATAGTTTGATCATATTGCAGTTTTAGATCGTTTTAGATAACGATATGGAACCATGCAATGTTTTGGACATATTGCTCCAAGTGTTACAGTAGATTTCTTCCGATTTCTTTCTGACCCCCTTACCATACATTCATCTAATTTGTGAATAACAAGTCGGGCTTCTCTTGTTATTTGACAACATTACTGGACTTGCATATATTGAACGATTTGGATTTTTACTTTTCAATAGCTCTTAAGAGTTGGTTCTCTTTCATATGGAGTAATTTCACTAGACTGTTTTTTGATTGAATATGAACCTTTATTCTTCTATAATTACTTTTAATGCTAGCAATCCATTTGACACTCTTTACTTTATGTACTCGCTGATTCCATTCTCAGAGTCGTCGCGCGGAAAGGACAGATGCTCAAATTGTACAGACAGGCGAAGAAAACGATGGTGGACTCAGCGACCGGTGTGATAAACAGCAGGAGCAACGACACGACCATCACATAGAATATCATCGTCGACGAATTCATGCTGAGCAGTGTAAATTTGAAAAAATGTTTCCAGTAAGCTTTGAAGTGCGCAACGCTCTAAATGTTGCAAATGTCAATGGTCAGCGGCTTTTTATAGCCAATTGAGAGCTGGGCATATTTACACAGTTGTCAGCCTTCGCAGGTGAGTTGGCGCAGCGGACGAGGCTGGCATTGACCCGCATATGCCCAGGCCCAAATATTGATTCAGCCTAGTTGGTAAACTGGGAGAACAATTGAGATGCTAAATCAATTTAATGCAACAGAAAAAGTCAATTATGCACAGAAATTCGCACAGAAGTTTTTATCATTTGGTGAATTCTCCAAATGTAATTAATTTAAAACCGACAGTCGTAATTGTAATTGCATTTGTATTCCGAGCTTAAGGATGCCTGCTAAGGGGTGGGTCCATGTGTGGGAGTGTGTGTGTGCAGATAATCGCTTTACCGATTTCCGCCGATTCCAAAGCCAATTTGCCCAAATTTGATATTCCATTTCAGATAAATGCGTTGGCCGAATTGAATTTTACTTGGAGCCAAAGCTGCGTTAGCGTATTATAGTATAGAATAGGGAGAGGAATGTCAAATTAACTTCAATTAATGAAGCTTTAACGGTGTTGTATCTACAAGCTTTTCATACAGTTTTTTGTCTTTGCATCTAAGCTTTCAACGTTTTATAGCTTTCCAGGTTAGTTCTAATAAAATTCTTTTTGGTATGCCAATTTATGAATTAAAGACAAGGAATTTATAATACTTAAACAACCTCAAACCATGCAGAAATAGCGCTAAAATAAAGAATCTGTCAGATACTATATGGTAAAAGTTGACATATGAAATTATTAATGAGTACCTAGTTTATACAAGATCAAAATGTGCTCAATATCAAGCTGAATACAATCGACTTTTTGTATAATCGTTGTGGATCAATATCTAACACTAAGTTTTAAATAACATATGTTTCTTTGTTAAAATGCTTATTTCCAATATTACTGACGATAATCTAGACATTCAAAATACAAGTTCAAGCCGAAGGCTTCAGTAACCACTCAGTGGCTAATTTCAATTAGCCGTACGAGTAGAGAATCATTCGTTTTTCAGGTATCCCTAAAAATATGCTACGCTAATGGAAGACAACGAAGTTTGAAACAACATTGCCATTTGCTCATTAATTATTCTGAAACAAATAATTATCAGATCGAATTGATTGAAAGCAAGCTGGCTACTTTCTGCAATGCTTCACTGACTTCATTTTCACATTAAACCTCTTAAGCATTACCCCACCTCGCCTCGCCACTCTAACGGCCTGTCAATCAGGCCTACCAGCTAACAGCTTCGTCATCCGGTTAAATCCTTTTTGGAACCCAATTGAAAAATACTGCAAAATAGTGTTGATCATAAAGATATCATAAACAAGTTTCTGAGACTGAAATTCAGCCAGATTGTATATACTAAATATGATTAGTCTATGAAATAAAAAATTAAATAAAATAAATAAATACACTAAAGTAAGCAAATTAAATGTATAAATCATCGGTATGCCAAGAAAGTCCAACAAAGTAATCTATAGCATACCAAAATATGCCAATCATAAAAATTATATTAATATATGTGTAAACTTATATTAAAGACAGTATAGCTTGTATTATATTGTATGTACTTTCTTGTAAAGATATACATATACATATATAGATTCAGATATAACGAAAATACCTGATGCATGTTGACTTGACCTGGAACTAATAGTCATGACCACTAAGTCTCTCACTCTCACTCTCTCTCTCTCCCTCTCCCTCTTCTCTTTTCGCACCCATCTGTTTCTCTTTAGCCAGTTAAGTTGGGGTATCTGGAATTATTTACATTTTCCCAGTAATGCTGTCAAGTATCACTTACGGGGACTACCACCCAATCGGCAATTAACAAGGTTTTGGCCGCAATTCGCTAGTTTGCGAAGCGTTAAAAATTTGGTGGGCGGAAACGGAAATGCGCATTGTGCCACCCCGTCCAACTAGTAGATGAGGCAAGTGTTGACATTGCGAGAGTACGGGCGGGCATTGTGAAACAGTAGGCGAAGCAGTACAGTTTTAGCCGCCGATTTGCATACTGCTTAAAATGTAAATACAGATTCAACTTTATAAACATTACAAAGGCAGACGATGCGTGGGCGCTGCTGCTGCTAATGTTGGTGTTGTTGTTTCTTGACGACTGCGTCATGTAAACGTAGCAAAGGACACAAAGCAGAGTATTTACAATTGACTCCAATTCTGCTCCCCTACCATCCACTACCCTGCCCTGGCCTGCCCATCGCCGCAACTCATATCTACTCTCTGCGCCACAGACACTCATGAATAATGCAACTGTATAGGAGCATAAACAAGCATTTCATATTGCGGGGGCGTCGGCTGCATTACAAGCGAGAATCTGGCCGACAATTAAAACCACATAATGTTAATGCCAAGCGACAGTTGCTGCAGCTGAATTATGCAAATGCCCAGAATTTTGATAAGGGTTCTACGCACTCCCCAAAAAAACCAGCCCACGCACTCAGTCATTCACTCGAATTTGAAAATGTGAATCAATTGACAACAAAATATTTTTTTAGCATTTAACCCACTTCCAAAGAAACCGCTCAAATTGTAAATCAGGCGAAGGCCCAGCTAGCAGCTAGCAGCCAGAACGTAGAGCTCGTTCTCTTAGTCCAAATATATCCAAATTTACGGGTCTTATAATAGATAGATATAATCGAATTCACCTCGTTCTATAGACTTCGGTACCATATCATTATACCCTGAACCCATTTTCAATGGGAATTCAGGGTATAAAGGTTTTCTTCTTGATCAGGGGATGAGCTGAGTCGATATAGCCCTGTTCGCCTGTCCGTCCGCCCCTCCGTCCGTCCGTATGAGTGCGTCGATCTCAGAAGTTATAAGAGCTAGAGAACTGACATTTGGCATGCAGACTCGTGTGTACCATACGCATTAACAGTTACTAAATACCTCACCATCTCTTAAAACAAAATATAACTCATGAAACAAGATATCAAAATCATTTGTTCATTCTGCCACTAAACTGCATGCAAATGAAGCGGAACGACCAAAACATAATCCGAAATATGTAAAATAAAAAAATCATAAAGCCGCTACGACTAATTGAAAAAATATTAATTAAGATCTAAACAAAATTTTCTACAAACTGAACAAAAAGTTCCAGACTAATAAATATTACACTAATTAAAATTCCACTCAAAGAAATAAATAAACTTATCTTTCTCTCTAATATACGGAACGTAATAAAGGGACAAGTGATTTAATTTATAAACATTAGATATTAGCGAAAATAATATTTTGGACAAGCTTTAAGCTTATCGTATGTGTAGTCTAAGCTGCCATGCTTAAAGCTTGTAAAACGCTTTTTCTATTTATTAAATTTGGGAACCTTTTTCAAGTATTATAAAACATGTACATACATATATTGCTTATATTTACTTATATTTTTATACCCTGAACCCACTGAAAATGGGAAATCAGAGTATAATGGTTTTGTCGAATTGTATATAACAGGCAGAAGGAGACGTGGCAGACCTCACAAAGTATATATATATATTCTTGATCAGGGCGACGAGCTTGATTTAGCCCTGTCCATCTGTCTGTCCGTCCGTCCGTCTGTCCGTATGTTTGAACGAGTCGATTTCAGAAGATATACGAGCTAGACTTGAATTTTTTAAGGACCGTATTTTTAGCGCGAATTACGAGTTTACCTTTAAAAATCGATAAGGCATCCCATTATGTTTTTATAGATTAAAAACATTAAGTATAGTAGTATAGCTAATTGTGAATGATTTGGCATTTTTTTTAATTTCTCAAATATTCAATAGAATATGGGCAATTCTCTAGTGGCGAATGTGACATTCGTACGTTTTTGAGTTTAAAAAAACGAATGCCAAAAAATTTTTTATTCTGACGAATAGTGAATCCTTTAGTTCTTTATTAGCTCTATAATTGGTGCTAAATCTGATTTTAAGCAAATGTTGTTTTTCAAGATAATCACAAAAAACCAAGAGGTTCGCAGGCTACAAAAAACGTAAGTCGCTTTTTAAATGAACTGTTTAACCTGAGATTTTAGCGAAACCTTAAGTGGCAATTTATTACGAATAATTTTAAATTATTAGAGATTGGCACATCTTTACGTTTTTTATTTGATTCAAAAATATTGATAGTCGAATGAAACATTTTTCCACCATACTTTTTCTTCTTTTTTAATTTTTAGTAGTTTTACATGAATAAAAGCAGAAATGATTTTCAATATATTCTATTTATTAATTACTAGCTGGCCCGGCAAACGTTGCATTGCCCTCTATATTATTTCTAGGTAAAAAATTGTTGAAAGCTATGTTGTTCAGGTTGGGATACACTGATAAATTTATTAATCGGATTTTCATTCAAGCACCT